AATAATTTTTGTGACAAAGGTCAGAACTCCTATTATGATGTAGTATATGTTTTGAGGTGCACTCTTGTCATACATTGATCTATTACTGTTCCTACATAATTTGTAACAAAAAAAAAAAAAACAGTGATAAAATATCTATTTAGGAGTCTTAGACCTTTCCAACGATATATAGTTTGTCATAATTAGATTAGGATTTAACTGTAATATACACTCTAAAAAACACTGGGTTGTTTTTTCAACCCAAATGCTGGGTTGAGACCGCTGGGTAAGGACGTTGGGTTGGTTTAACCCAATTTTGGGTAGAAAATTGGTCTTGATCAATATCCCAGCGGTGCTGGGTTGGGAACGCGGACGTGAAAGAGAGCATGCACGTCACGTTAACGTCGGACGTATCTCGACGACACCAGCGCGAGAAGCCGCCATGTTTCTCGGCGTCTTTAGATGGAAGCGAGAGCGAGTTAAAGATGGTTTATGGTAAGTAAAGATTAAAAATGTAAAGTCATCATTCATTGTTTGCGTCCGGTAGTATCTTGAGATTTCATGGAAGGAGGAAATATTCCGAGAAGAGCTTATATTGAAAAATACGCGGCTTTCGCCTCAGAAATAGTCTTAATAGTCTCCCCTCTTTTACTGAACGGAAGAGGTGCTTTTAATATAACGTCAGTGAGTGTCTTGTCATATTTACATAAGATTTGACAATATTTACATTTTTTGAGGTGTTAAGAGAGGGTTCTTGACATATTTACATGTTAATTCGTTATCATCTTTTTCGCGGTTGAATTGAACGTAGTTACCTAATGGAAACGGCGTTATGTAATAAAGACTAGCCTAATTATTTTGAGGCTCTTAATAATTCCATCATGTTATCAATTTTCTTTTTTTTACTAGGAGTAAAATTATTTTTTTTGTAGATGTTGAAAGCCAGAGACATAGGAGAGCATCATTCTTTTGAGATTGATGTGTTATTTTTAGAAAATCAATTTTTCTGTTGTCTCCTACCTGTTTACCTCACATTTTGATGCAACAACAGTATGATTACGTGTTCATATTTTATGTAAACCATTGATGTCTGTGTTTTTCATTGCAGAACTCAAACCAACGTTGGAGTTAATACAGAACCCTATGCCAATATTTATATATGAATAAATCTTAAATTATATCATAGCGAACATGTCTGTTCAGAAGAAAATACTGGTCTCCCAGACTTGCAATGGAGGACAAAAATTAAAAGAATATTAAATATATTTATTTGTGTTCCAAAAATGTGCAGAGTTTGTATGGGTTTGGAACAACACGGGCAGAATAAATTATGACCATTTTCATTTTTTGGTGAACTAACCCTTTAAAGAGCAGCCCTCCACGTACATGAAAATTTGTGAGGTATGTGAATGTCATGTCTGTTTTAATGTTTTTGTATAATATTTTTATACAATATATAAAATTGACCAAAAAAAGTCAAATTTGATCTTAAAAGTTCACTTCATTTATAAACTCTGTAGCTGTTAATGCCATACTTTTCTGCATTTCTTCTTACATGCATGTTACTTTTGACTGTTTTCTCTTGTTTTAAATAAATATTTACCTTTTGATAGTCATTCTGTGTGTGTAAAAGTGATTTTAAAATTAACAAGATTTGTAGGTTTAATGTCTAGCTCGATTTGGGCCAGCAGTGTAGTAATTTTAAACCATAAAAAAGCAACCCAGCATGCTGGGTCAAACATAATATCCCAACTTGTTGGGTTAAAACAACCCAGTGCTGGGTTCGTCCCTTTTTGACCCAGCACTGTGTTGCCAAAATAACCCAAATTGGGTTGTTTTTAACCCAGCAATTTTTAGAGTGTAGTAGTAAAGTTTAGTAGTAAACTTCTACCAGCGGTTAAGGGGTTAAAAAATGTGGTTAAACACGTTTATAAAAAAAATCATACTTTTTGATATTAATTGTTTGCACTGTGTGACTAATACTAATATTAAATTTCTGTTCATACCTGATTCCTTGTTTTTAATCATGTAAAATTTAGGGAAATGCATTGAAGGCAATTAGGGTCAATTTGACCCGCTCCATCAAAATCGTACCCAGAAATCGAACTTAATATAAGGGTTAAAAAGGTCTAAGATTCAAACTTCAGTATTTGACCTCTTATTTTATTTTGTAAATCTTATAGTGCCAGTTATGTCTTAATTTGTGTCAGAAATGAAGAAAAAATGTTCAGTTGCATCCACTGAGAAAAATGAAAAAGAAAAGAAAAGTCCTGTACCATCATCATGAAAATGCTTTACAAAACAACATCCCTCAGGGTTCTTAGTTCAAAAGTGTGCAGATTTGGAGAAACATTGATAGATTCTCATATGTTTATGTATAATAGTGTATATTTACAATGCAATGCTAATCAACATATTCATTATGACAAGAATTAGTTCTGACTTTACAATAAACTGCCAACTGTCTTCTTTCAAATGAGACCATACTTATACTTTTAGTGCAAAGGCTTCATGAGCTGTATCTGTTTTAGTTTGGGTATACAATTTCTTGGGATTTTTTTCAAAGGCTAAGAGGTTAACTATATATTTCAGTGTGGTCTGTCTGTCTCTGTTCATCAACTTTTTCAGTGTTTGTCTCTTTTTTTTACCTGTAGTTTTGCGATCATTCTACTGAAAGGCATGACAGATAACATACAATAAATCTCCATTCCCCTTTCCTCTAGAAAAACTGGTAAACCTGTTGAACAGGTTTAGGTTCCAAGGAAAGCTCCACCCCTCCACAGTCCTTCGTGAAAGTGTAGAATTGAAAGGATAACATCTGTTCAAGACACAAGTTCAGTGAAGGAACAAGAAACATCTACATCATCATTGTTCACGGTTAGTAAATACTAAATCATAATGTACTAACTAATAGATATAGATGTATTTTAATTTCATTTTACTTTTGATTTTGATTGCTAACACAAGAAATCAGTTATTTGACGACTGGCTGAGTTGCATTAGAAGTGTGTTGTCACCATGTCCAAGAGACATCATTTCACAGATCTAATATACTGATATCTATGCGATTTCTTTCTAATCTGATTATGTTCAGAGACATAACCAACTGTGTTTATGTGAACTGGAGAGATTACATGAAAGGGCTCTTCACATTTGTGTGTTCAGAAAACCATACCAGAAGTTCAAACTGACAGACTTTTTAAACGCATGTTTTATGAGTTCGTCTGCCCGTTTAGTCTTAATAGTTAATGGTAAATGAACTTGGACTCGAACCCTGAGCTCATCCCCCGTAACATGAAGGAAGAAGGAAGTAAAGTCCTTCACCATAGTCTCATTAGGGCAACAAATATGTAGTAATATTTCAGTTAAAGTCAGTTAATTGATTATTCAGTGATGTCATCATCCAATTCATATAGCACACCTGTACATACAATGTATTTTATTTTTCAATATATTTTTTATTTTTAACGTATTTATCTATTTTTTTGTTTATTTATATATAGATATGTGTATTTTATTCACATCTTATTTTTTATTATATGTGTGTTGTTATCTCTGTGTACTGGAAGCTTGTGACACCAAAAAAAAAATTCCTTGTATGTGCAAACATACTTGGCAATAAAGCTCTTTCTGACTTCTGATCCAGTTCAGTGGCCTGTAGCACGAAGCCGGTTTCAGTTTTTACCCATTTAAGTTCCCATCTGAGTTTTCGGGCTCAAGAAGATGGGTTGGTTTTGAGCGGGTTTCGTTTTATTCTGGGTTAGAGATCGCAAACCCAAACTGGACCTGTGAGCAAAGTGACATATATCTGATGCAATGAAGACACTCCCCCATATCTCTCGTTCAAAATTAAAGCAACAGTCAAAGAATTTTAGAGAACAAATTGCCCGACTTTTGCAGCTACTTATTTATTATATTGATATTATATTAATTGTAATTGTTTATAATTCATATAATATATTCATATAATTATTATATTGTTGACACACTTTCGAAAGTGTTATTTTAACTCCAAAATGGAGGGAGTCATATATACATTTCAGGAGTGTTAAATTTGACTCGAATTGAGTTCATTGTACACTGGCTTTTTTTGCTGCGTACAGGCCACATCTCTCTTCCAATATTGTCTGTGCAATCAATAAAGCTGACAATATTTCCAGAAATTAAGCGTTCCCAACTAAGCAAGGTGACAGTGGCAATGAACCAAAACTCTATCGGTGACAGAAATGGAAACAAAAAACCTCGTGAGAAATCAGACTCATGGTCTCCTCTGGCCAGACGAAACCAGAATGGTGTGGTTTAATTCCAGGCTGCAACACAAGTCAGACTGTTGAGTGTTTACTATCATGTTCTTGCATTATCGACATTGTCCTGTTTAATACTGTAAAGCTGCTTTGAGACAATCTGTATTGTATAAAGCGCTATATAAATAAAGGTGATCTGACTCTGACTCTGACTCAGTTGACATGGTCTCCGCTAGATTTTTTTAAAGTCTAAACTTAGACCTTAGTTTATGTGATGAAAGTCGAGTCGACGTCGGCTAGTCGCTGATGATGTCATTAATGAACAAATAAGCCTGAGCCTGGAGCTGAGACTCGGCCCCGTCCACACGGAGGCGCGTTTAGCTGTATACGCATACATTTTGTATCGTATAGGCGTTTCATCCAGACGGATCCGGTGTTTTTGGAGAGTGAAACCGATATTTTTTGAAACCGGGTCCCAGAGTGGATAAATCTGAAAACGCCGCCCTTGCATTTTCGTGTGGACAGCGAGCGAATCCGTTTTCTGAAACTATGACGTCATCAGCCCACGTCTCGCCCCTAGTCAGACACCGCTACGTCACGTAACAGCAACAAAACCATGAACAAACACTGAACGATTGTCTTTTTATTAACTAACATTAACACAGATTAATAAATGTATTGTTCCATGTGCGTTTGTATACCGCGCGCAAGGGTTATGCGCATAGTCCAAGTCTTCTTTTCTGTTTTTAGTGTATCTCTGTGGCAGAATTACAGCACCACATGCTGGTCAGGCATGCATACTACATCGTATTGTGTCGGTTTCATGGTTTCGTGTGGACGCAGATATTTATTGAGACGAGGAGAAAAAAAAGATCGGATAGGGTAAGCTCTGCATGGCTTAGTATGGACGTAGCCTCAAACACCTTGTGTACAGCTATGGCATTTGACACAGCGCTGCCCACATGGCTATTGCTCCTATAACTGCTTTTTTCCTTTGTCCTTTGGGTCGTTATATTTCTCACACATTTCTGCTCGTTCTAAATCAGATAAAGTAGCACAGTAAAGATTACATTTATATGAATGCATTAGTGAGAGCGAATGTGTGTGTGAATGAATTCTACCTGGCAACGTCTCTCTACTAGTAGTAAAGCTGTGGGATTTAGTTAAGAAATATATGCTAGAACTTTTCAGTTTTTAAGCTATTTTATTGAAAAATCACAGAACAGTGTTGACAGTACATTTCCGCGCTGAATGATTCTGTGTGCTTGCGATCTGTGCGTGATGTACGAGCTACTGTCTGAAGCCGATGTGTGTGCGTTACAGTGCAGTAGCGCATTAGATTAGAACTAAATGTGGAAGCCCTCCAAAGATTTCTTAACCCTGTTGCGCCCTCTATAGGACCAGCGACTAGTCGACGTCAAGCTTAAAGCGTCATGGCAGAGCATTAAAGTCGACCAGTCGGTGCAACCCCTAGTCTCCGCTGACATTCAGGGCTGTAGAGGTCATCTTTAGGTGCTGATCCACCATCTGGACTGGATACAGACTGGATCTGGGTGGCTATTGTGACCTCGGAATAAGAATGATATTTTGAATGTCCTTACCCAAATCATTTATATAAATAAAAAACAAAATAGGTCCCAAAATGGAACCATGGGGAAAAACTTTAGATATATCAAGAAAATCAGATTTGAGGTCTTCCACATAAACACCGTCTCTGTATATCTAAAGTCTTTAGTAGTATTTAAAAAAAAAAAAGACAGGGAAAAAAATAATGGTCACCTGCTTAACCAGCTAAAAAGGTAGTGTAATTTTAAGGCTTAGAAGCTTAGCTTTACAGTGAATATAGGGGATATGATCAACGCTTAACAACAGCTTTTGAATTAGCTGATATATTAAAAGTGCTTAAATTTCACGTCGAGAGAGAGAGAGAGAGAATTACCACTTTAGGGTGAATTCGGGTAATCTGGGACATTTTTTGACTTCTGCAATTTATTATCTAACATATATATCAAAGATATCTAATGATATCTATCTAACACATTAGATCAGCATATTAAGCTTTTCTGAAATCCCTAAGATGCTTTCTAACCACACCAGAAGAAAGAATGTAGATATTATACCCAGAGGAGACATGCCACACCTATTAGTGTTTTTGTGCCAAAAAAAAAATTTCTGCCTGAATTTGATAATCTGCAGGTCACTTTGTAATCTGGGACATATGTATTAGGCCTAAAAAAGCCTATATTCACCATACTTTATGCATGCCAAACACAATATCACCAATTTTTTAAAAAGCATTATGAAAAAAATGACAAGTACAGAAATCTCAATAGGAAAATATATATTCCAATATCAGGAAAAATAATTTCTATCTCTACACAGGATTGACAATCTACTGTTAATTAATTTAAATGAATTTAAAACTCAAATTGTTTAACATTGTGTGTGTGTGTGTGTATGTGTGTGCGCGTGGGTGTGGGTGTGTGTGCGCGCATGGGTGTGTGTGCGTGTGTGTGTTTGTGTACAGAACATTGTCAACTGGCCTGGCCGCAGATCCTCCTCCTGCTCAGTGGTTTGAACTGTTGTACAGTGGTGTGAAAAAGTTTTTGCCCCCTTCCTGTTTTTTTAATTGTTTGCATATTTGTCATATTATGGCACACATTAGCCCTTATCATTAGACTTATAAAGTCCCTAAATGCACATTTCCTCCATTTGAAGACTGTCCCAGATTACCCAAAGCATGCTGTCCCACATTCTCAATCATATTTGATAATGTGGGACAACAAAAAAATGTTTGAAAGAAAAAAAACTAGAACACATTTTCAACACTTTAATACATATTTTGTTGCTTGAATAGATCACAAACATAATTTGACAACAATTAGGAACATTGTATTATTTATGACAGATTTATGTCCTTAACATTAATCTAGTCAGAATCCTATGTCACTGACCTTGTCATGCAATTCCCAGGGGAGCTTCTTGATTGACAAGTGCCCCGCCCCTTTCTGTGGAATCACCCCAATGAAGTCATGTGATTTCAGTCACATGACATCTATGCTAAAATTATAGTAAAAGTCCTGTTGACTAAATTTTGTTAGAACAGGAAATAAACATGTCACTGACCTTGTCATGCAATTCCCAGGGGAGCTTCTTGATTGACAAGTGCCCCGCCCCTTTCTGCGGAATCACCCCCATGAAGTCATGTGATTTCAGTCACATGACATCCATGCTAAAATTATAGTAAAAGTCCTGTTGACTAAATTGTGTTAGAACAGGAAATAAACACACTGGAACTTAGGTGTCCCAGATTACCCAATGTCCCAGATTAGCCCGAATTCACCCCACTTGAAAATGTGATCTGTAAAAGCATCGTACATAAGAGATGGTCTAGAGATCTCAACTAGCAAAATACAATAAGCATATCTGTTTTTGTTAGAGATCAAACAACAAATGACAAAAAATGCCAATGTAAACAAACACAATTGTACACTGTATGCACATTAGGCTTTTGCACCAGTAAATCACATAGCGATATTTAGAGCAGTTGACCTCAATTTGAACAAGTCCATGCACAATTTCATGTGATGCGCAGATCTTGAGATAATTTTTATGGAGAGCCATGACATGCTGCTTGGCTAAAGCTATTGTGGGAGGAGACAATGAGCAGTGAGTTTCAAGTTTAGGTAGTTAGTCATATGACCAAGAAAGCATAAATAGTTGCAGCAACAACTAGTGAGATTGGCAACTTTCTGAAGTTGTGCTTATTGTGTATCAATGGATACACAATTGTTCCATTGTGCTCAATGAATGCTCATTCTGGCTTCCCAATACATTACAACAATAGTGATGAAAAAAAAAAAAAAAAACGTGGACAAACCATTCACTCTTGTTCAATGTGAATGCCGTATGATGGAATATGAGCAGTCATTACATTCATTTATTCCGTCATCACCCGGGTGCTGATAGCGCGCGCGCACAGGTGAGACCTAAACAGCACATGTTGATATCTGTGTTTAAACTAAACTCATGTAAGCTTTGCCAGTTTAAACATTTAAAGGGTTAGTTCACCCATAAATGAAAATTCTGTCATTAATTACTCACCCTCATGTCGTTTCAAACCTCGACCTTCGTTCATCTCTTCGGAACACAAATTAATATATTTTTGATGGAATCTGAGAGCTGTCTGACCCTGCATAGACAGCAATGCAACTGTAATGTTCCCAAGTCCAGAAACGTAGCAAGGAGATCTGTAAAATAATCCATGTGACATCAGTTGTTCAACCGTAACTTTACGAAGCTACGAGAATCATTTTTGTGCCCAAAAGAAAAAAAAATAACTTTATTCAACAATTGAAACTTACAGGATATTTTTATAGTCGCTATAATAACTTCTTAACTGTCAAAAGATGAAGGAAAATTTGAATTCCCAGTAAAAAAAAAAATAAAAAAAAAATTGAGAAGTACAGTAACAAAATATTGTACTTGGTTACTTTACACCACTAAAACACACAAAAAACAGCATATTTTTGCTTACACTCAAAAAGGGGCATTTACATAATAAATGATTGGTATCTTGAGCTGAATCTTCACAGACACATTCTGACACCTGATACTTATATTACATCTTGTAAAAAGGAGCAGGACTTCTTTAACAGATGAGTTTGACTCTGAGAGTCCGGATCTGATCACAGCTTCATTTCATAATCCAATTAACATTTGAGAGCTTGAGTCCACAAGTTAAGAGAGAAACTAATTCAGATCTTTTTCTTGTTGTCCTGCAGCTGTGAGTCAGTGAAGGACGATGGCATCTGTTTTCGAGCTGCTTCTAAACTCACTGAAGGATCTCGGAAAAGATGAGCTGAAGGCGTTTCAATGGCACTTAAAGAAAAATCATAAAGAAATATCACATTCTGAAATGGAGGAAGCAGATAGGTTTAAAACAGTGGATATAATGGTGGACGTTTTTGGAGAAGAAGAAGCAGTGAAGAACACGGTGGAGATCCTGAGGAAGATGAACAAGAATAATCAGGCTAAGAATCTGGAGAAAAATCTCAAGCAAGGTAACAGGTTAAAATTAAACTATTCAGTGTACCGTTGAAAAAACATAATAATGAAACTAAAGACTTGATGTCTTTTTAAATATATTTGAAATATGAAAAAGGCCCAAGTTCTACTATTTTTCTATAACTGATGTCTCACAGAGAGAATGATTACAATGTGACAGTTTACAGAATAAGTGAATAACTGCTGGTTTCAAGTCAAGCCTTTGCTTTGCTGATGTGTTTGTGTGGTTTATTGTTACTGCATTTTCATTCTGATCTCTCTCTCTTACACTTGATCACAGTTATTCCTGCAGGCACTCTTCTTAGATAAGATAAGTGTGTTGTGCTTCAAACAGCTCAACACACAGTAGATACTCTTGGATGCTCATGGCCACTTGTAGATGACATGTAGATGACACTTCTACAGGTATTGAGTTGAACTTAATGCTTTACTTTCTGTTTGCAGAAACAGAGAGAAGCACTTCACCCTCCCCGCATGGAACATCTTCTTTAACTAACGTTCCACGTAAGAACACAATATTTGTAACACAAAAAGGACACTACAATGCTGAATTTGATTACAGTCTTTCAATGTTCCTAGATTTATATATTATTACATTAAACATTCTTCTGTGAACCCCCTCTCTCACACCTTCTCGATTAAGGGAAAATATTTGCCCCTTAAATTGATTTACAGGTGCATTTTTTTACCTTTATAAAGGCAAAGTTTTTCTAACCTTAACAAGAAATTATGGTAAAAACTAAGTGATACTATGAAATATTAAACAAAAAATGCCAGTAGGTGGTGGCAAGTCACTGTCTCATGTTACATTATGTAAATGTAAGAAATGTGTTTTGTGATATCAGTATTTACAACCAAACATCAGATTAATTTTTTTATGATTTTAATAAGAACTAAAATGTGCCTTGCATGTATTCACAGACATTTTCATTATAAACAGTAGAATATATATACTGTATATATATATATATATATATATATATATATACAGACACCAGATATAATTTTTGATAGTTTTTTACTAGTGGGTGAGGACACTATAGTTCTTAAATGTAAGTGAGGATAGCAAAATAAAGTAAACTGTGACATACTATACCGAAAAATTCTTCATACAGTGGACTACCAGTAAAATTGATAAAAAATTTCCCACCAAAAATTATTCAGACACTTTGACCTGACCATGTTTTGCTTAAGTGTTTTTTCTTTAATTGCTAATGCGACCTTTTTACACCACAGACTGAACAAAATTAAGCATTGCTTGGTAATTAGTTGACCTAAATTGGTATTATCTAATTGTTTATTTTAATTTAACAGCTGACAGCTATTCAGCCGAATTCATTACATACCTTTCTAACAAAGTTCTTCTGACATTATGATAAGATGAATTTGTTCTGACACAGTTTAACTCTGAGTTCTTGTCACATTTTATTACCATTTTCTAAACTATAGTGAATAAACTGAGATATTGTGAGAAATGTTGAAGGTGTCTGAATAAATTTTGGTTTGATTATATATATATAGGGTAATCAAATGCTTGAGCATGAGACAGTTGTTGATAAATCAGTGATGAGAAAAAGCACAAACTATTTTACAATTTTATTGAACTAAATTTCATTAGAAAACTAAGACTTAAAAAAACAAACATTTGAAGATAGTATTTATAACTGAATCATGCATGTTTTCTTGGCACACACACACACACACACACACACACACACACACACACACACAATAAACTTGAATATGGCTCACCTTTGCTTGTACTCTGCCGCTCTTAATACAGTTGTGAGAATGGTTCATTACAAAAAGTCATTTAAAAGCCATAATTATAATTACATAAAACAACTGATTACACATTTAATGTAATCCCTTATGATTTAATCCAAGTCTTTTGAAGCAACTACTTTGTAAGATGAACGAAGTGTTCATCTTAGATGTCAGATTCCCTCTCGCATCAAATTTCTGATCAGATCATGTCTACAGCAGCCAAATCAAATATGGTGACACGTCAATTATACAAAATAGTGTTTGTGTCTAAATAGTGGCTGTGTCAGGATTTAGGCTTTTAGAAGAGACACTTTTCTAAATACCTTCTGTGTTGGAGGATTTCTGCATGGGTTAGCAATGGATGCTGGGATGATTTTCTCTCGACATGACAATGACACTCTGTTGATTCATATTTGATTCATATGAATATTCACACAGATTCATATTTCCTGATTCTGGTTTGTTTTGTCTCCATCAGATTCCCTTCAGCTCACTCTGGATCCCAACACAGCATATAAACACCTCTGTCTGTCTGACAACAACAGAGAGGTTTCTTACACAAAGAAAGTCCAGTATTATAGTAATCATGCAGACAGATTTGATTATTATCACCAGGTGTTGTGTAGAGAGAATGTGAGTGGACACTGTTACTGGGAGATTGAATGGAGTGGTGATGGTGTGTATGTATCAGTGTCATATAACAGCATCAGCAGGAAGGGAGTGGAAGATGAGTGTGCGTTTGGACACAATGATAAATCCTGGAGTTTGTACTGCTCTCCTGACAAATACACATTCATACACAATAACATCTGGAATGATCTCCCTGTAAAGCCTATGGGCTGTCGTAAAATAAGAGTGAATGTGGATTACAGTGCAGGAACTCTGTCCTTCTACAGGGTCTCTGACACAATGAGCCTCATCCACACAATCCAGACCACATTCACTCAGCTGCTCTATCCTGGATTTTATCTTGATTTTAAATCATCAGTGAAATTGTGTTAATGAATCGAATAGATTATTGAGAGAATCAGTAACAGTGAGAAAACATTAATACTGCAGCCGACCTTCTGTCACTGAAATAGCATGCCTGAATAAATGTGTGTAATAAATCCTCCTGTCAACCATAAGATCAGTGTGTTTGGGTTTCATTATGAGTAACAGTGCTTTTCTCAAGCTCAGTTTGTGTTAATGGAGATCACCTATATTTAGTTCTTATTGTAGTGTCTCATAAATCATTTATAATTTATGTAGAATTGGGATCTTATAATCCAAATGTAATTAGGGATTCATGCACTGAGGATTCTGCAACATTATTGTATTTGTAATGTTTTGTCAATTGCTGTTTTTGGTCCTAATCATGTCTGGGCATCAAGACCGTAAGTCACAGAAATCCTGGAAATCAAAACAACTACTCCTAGACTGCTGGTCCAATTCACTCAAAACTCAACAATATGCATTGTGAAGATATTAACAGGCTTCACACATTTGTAATGTATTGATCTGTATCTGCTGAACAGCATGTCCAAACCTAACAGATCCTGATACACACAGATGAGAGGATATTCAGAGGACAGACACAAAGATGATCAAATCTGGCCATAGGGGGTGCTACAACTCAAAACACTTGCAGCTCTGCAGCCGTATCATCAATCAAGTTAATTATTTCTATTCATATATTCATCAAATGCTAACATATGCTTTGCATGTCAGTGATGGCCACCAAGCATGGCCATCAAAATCCAATGAAATTTCAGCAGCTATTTCTATTCATATATTCATCAAATGCTAACATATGCTTTGCATGTCAGTGATGGCCACCAAGCATGGCCATCAAAATCCAATGAAATTTCAGCAGCTAATGATGTCAAATTCAGAATGTCGGACTGTTACAAAAATGAACATATTTATGTATACAGTATTGTCACAATTAGGCTGTGGATCAAATCTTGTGAGATTCAGCCATATGGTGGTGCTATAATAAGCAACATTTCGTTTTTGCTAATAACTCTGTATTCTAGTGATGGGCGCTTTTGAAACTGCTCAATGAAGCTTTGAAACCTTACGAATATATTGTTTTGAATCAATAGTTCAGAGCGTGTATCAAACTGCCAATGTCATGTGATTTCAGTAAATGAGGCTTCGTTACATCATAACTGTTTTGGAATGTCAATGGTTCACCGCTGGGGAGAGATGATCTCTGTGAAGGCATGAACCATGAGGATTAAGTGAGAGATCCGTTGAGGGCGCCAAAGGTCTTGTGATTGTATTTACACTTTACTGCACGATCTAATCCTTGTTTACCGTTGGCTAAACAACATTTAATTCAGGAGAAGCAGTCAAGCAACAGAAGTGGACAGCAGCTTTTTGTTTCTTATCTCATTAGATTTTAGTGCAGTTGTCATTGCTAGGAAACGTGAGGATATTTACTTTTTGTACAGTGTGTTCTCATCTGTTTGTTTTTATTACCTATCTTCACTGTGTGCTTTCTAATCTCTAATCTTACCACTAACACTTGTAAATCATGCTCCATACACTTGAGGCAGTGCAATTCTAACAATCTGAACTCTGTTTCTATGTCCTCTATTACTTTACTCTCTACTCCTATTGTTATCTGGAACTGCCGGTTTGCTGTAAACAAAGCAGACTTTATTTCATCTATTGCTACTCATTCTAGTCTCAACTTCATGGCCCTAACTGAGATCTGGATCAAACCAGATCAAACCTCTCCACTAATTTCACCTTTTCCCACACCCCTTACCCAATTGGGAGGGGTGGGTACTCACTTTAAATTATTGGAAATTTGATACTTTTCCATCTCTAAGTCGTGGGCTTGGAATTATAAGGATCTATCTGACATTTTTGTCAAAATTTAGTTATTCACATATTCTTATTCTGTGACAACTTATTTACATGATGTGATGGGTTTTTTAAAGTTCTGTACCTTTTGGGACTTTTTATTTATAAAACAAAAAGGTTATTTCTACACAGTCGAACTCTAAATTGGTTCTATAAGGTTCTGTGAGCCAATCAGCACTTCGAATGCACACAAGTTGACCAATCAGGATCAACTTTCTTTGTCATGTCGCTGGACTGCTCCGCGACAGCAGGAAAGATTAAATGTTAAATATTTTAAGTGTTAAATATTTCAATAATATATAGTCAGTGAAACATTTGTCATTGTTTTTATCTTTTAAAGAAGTGATAATAAAAAAAATAATGTCTGTTTTTAATTCAATTTCAATTCAAGTTTTTTTGTATAGCGCTTTTCATGGTGCAAATCGTTAAAAAGCAGCTGTACAATATGTTTCTACAATATATTTAGTAGTAGCTTATCAGTGGTGACTATGTCAGTAAATGTACATATGGCAGAAATGTACGGAAAAATCAATTAAAGACGTAATCAAACAGACTACACTATTAACAGCAATTATTATATGTTGCAATCAAACTTATAGCAAAATGTGGTAGTTCTGTATGTTGTTTCAGGGTTGGCATCATCTGAGGTCCTCTGAGGGGTTGGGCATCATCTCTTCTCAGGTGTTCTGGATCCAGACTGAAGCTTGTGTAAATCCTAGTTACCACGGGATGTCATAACTCCAAGGTGGATGAAGTGCCAATAGTTCATTCGAATCACATGCGATTACTATTACCCACCCTGTTAAAATCCACCTTGGTTCTTCATGGAACCACAGTTGCTGATAAACAACCTTTATATTTGGAGTGCACAGAGTGTTCAGCATTCTAACTTTGTATCTACTAACGTTATATATATGTCATTTCAAATAATTTAAACTCATTTTGGATAACATTAAAAATGACTTTAAAACTGGTTTAAGTAAGGGGAAAACATACAATGCCATGATATACCTGACTATATTATTTTACGATTTGACAAAATGAGCTATTTGATAAAGCATATGGATAGTTGGCTGCAGCACAAACTGATTAAAAAAAACACGAGAACTGTGAACACGCTTTACTGCGTTCAGTAAGACAAAACGTCTCAGGTTACATGTAGTTCCATGAGAAGGGAACGAGACACTGCGTCCTCTAGAGGTCGCTTTGGGAGAACGCCTTCAGCGTGACCGGTGTCTGAAGCATGTCTGAAGCGGTGTCTAAACACGGTAATAACATTGGCTGGCGACAGCCTATGACGTCATTACCTGGCGTGACCAGGGTTTAAATTGGGCCGGGGCCGTCCGGGGCTGAGCCCCCACACATAAGGGCCTTTCACACCGCGGGAACCTTTTCATAGTACCAGAACTAATTGTGGAACTACCCACTTTTTGGCATTTTCGCACCGCCGGAACTGGGTGCGATTTTAGTTCCGGACTGCCTTTTTCGAGAACCAAATTAGCTCCTACTCCGGAGCAGGGTCTAACCGGCACAACTGGTACTAATCGTGACGTAAGTAGACATTGATTGGCCAAACGCATATGAAAACGCCCTCCCCCGCCATGATTTAAAACAGACTGAAGCTTGTGTAAATCCTAGTTACCACGGGATGTCATAACTCCAAGGTGGATGAAGTGCCAATAGTTCATTCGAATCACATGCGATTACTATTACCCACCCTGTTAAAATCCACCTTGGTTCTTCATGGAACCACAGTTGCTGATAAACAACCTTTATATTTGGAGTGCACAGAGTGTTCAGCATTCTAACTTTGTATCTACTAACGTTATATATATGTCATTTCAAATAATTTAAACTCATTTTGGATAACATTAAAAATGACTTTAAAACTGGTTTAAGTAAGGGGAAAACATACAATGCCATGATATACCTGACTATATTATTTTACGATTTGACAAAATGAGCTATTTGATAAAGCATATGGATAGTTGGCTGCAGCACAAACTGATTAAAAAAAACACGAGAAATGTGAACACGCTTTACTGCGTTCAGTAAGACAAAACGTCTCAGGTTACATGTAGTTCCATGAGAAGGGAACGAGACACTGCGTCCTCTAGAGGTCGCTTTGGGAGAACGCCTTCAGCGTGACCGGTGTCTGAAGCATGTCTGAAGCGGTGTCTAAACACGGTAATAACATTGGCTGGCGACAGCCTATGACGTCATTACCTGGCGTGACCAGGGTTTAAATTGGGCCGGGGCCGTCCGGGGCTGAGCCCCCACACATAAGGGCCTTTCACACCGCGGGAACCTTTTCATAGTACCAGAACTAATTGTGGAACTACCCACTTTTTGGCATTTTCGCAACTTGTTTATCGACTTGTTAATAGCAATTTGCTGTGGAATATGTGCCGATCGGGTCTAGTCAAGTCTGTGTCTTCCCGGCCGGGTTCGGGTCCATCTTAGAAATAATTGACGGTCCGCGTCGGTTCCGGGTAGTACATTTTTGACATTTCTCGGTTCTGCACGGGCCCGGGTCCAACTTTCAAAATAATAGACGGGTCCGGGTCGGTTCAGTGTAGCACATTTACGGGTCTCTTCGGGTTCGGGTGCGAATTTTTGGACCCGTGTAGACCTCTAATCTGAAGCATGGCAAGGGAACTAGAGGACGCGATGTCTCGTTCCCTTCTCAGGGGACCATGGTTACATACGTAACCTGAGACGTTCCCTTCCAAAGGGAACTTCGAACTGCATCCTCTAGAGGCCGCTTTGGGGAATGGTATACCCATGCAGTGGGAGTGCCTTCCAGAAACCACGGCGAGCACTAAGTACTAACTCTACCATAGCCATGGGAGTTGCCCCTAGGATGCCTTGAGAGCTCTCAGTGACATTATCCCCTTCAGCCAAGGGCCTGAGCTGCATACCCGAAACAACTTACCTGTTAAGGGCTGGGCTGGGAAGCCCGATCCTAGGGCAGAACTCAAATGCTTGGAATCAGGAAAAAAAGAGATTCCTTCAAGGGGATATGGCCAGGTGTCTAATAAACCAACCAGACCCTGGCCTGTCGTCCAGGGGGCTACCACCAGTTCTGAATGAGCCTGCTCAAAGAACTGGTTCAACAGATCTTTGGTAGCAACACCCTGCTCAGTATCAGCAGGGATACATAAGTTGAGTGGAGCCCAAGGTGGAAACCCGGGGCCTAAACCAACTCAGAGAAAGGGAACGAGGTTGACAGCATGTAACCCTTACCATACAGGATTTTAGA